TACACACGCATGCATGTTTCTCTATACGCATACATTCACAGCACATTAGACCGTATAGACAAGTAATGACTCTAACCACATAGAGAAGAGGTAGAGAAAACAATTGGAAAAGCACTGACCGATATGGAACACACGAAAATAGGTCAAAAACTTTGAGTGAAAGATGAACAAATTGAGAAACCTTCAATTTGACAGAAAGGACGATTCGCGGTCACAAATATTAATGAATGTTAGAGGTGACCGATTAAAGACTTGAAGTACGTAAGTGTGAATTTGTATACGTGAATACGCGATGGCTTTCAAACCGACCCGGTCTGTCAGGTCATTTAACTTTGGATAACACCAGACGTGAAAAAACATGAATATTCAATCGGATAGAACATATCCCCCCACCGACAGAGAATGAAATTTGTAAAACCGAGAGCGATTACGAGAAGAAGTACACACGTTGCTATTTACCGCGATCGTTTCGTTTGAATGATCAACGGATCTGAACCGTTGACATCAGTAACGTCGATGTGAGTCATGAAAACCTTAGTACAACTCGGCGGGTGCATTTTGGCGTAAATCACAAATTACTGTGAAATCGAAACGATGAAAAATAAACGATAAGCCTAACGTAAAAGGCGGATTAGAAGATTGACATTCAAGGGTAAGCGTTTACCTAAGATGTGAGGGCCGCGGGGGAGAATCCGGAATCGGGAGCAGGTACAGGACTATGGAGATAACTTTTGAGGAGCTCATTGTGCTAACAGTGGTCGGCATTGGACCACAGACTTTTGGTAAACTGATCAGGTGCATCTAAATGCTTGCGAACAATAACAGTAACATTACGAGGTATAAGATCAGATCTGTGTAAGAATCTAAGATACAGGAAAAGCTCAAAAACCCCTGTAGAAGAGGAGCAATACAGCCGATGAGGAATGATGAAAGGGATGACAAACTTGAGCTGTAAGCATTGAGGAATATCAATCTTCCCAAGCCAGTAAGTGTAAGAAGACAACTTATGAACCTGGATAATGATACTTTCGATATGTGCAGACTATGACAGATTGTGAGATGAAACGACACCTAACTAATTATTTTACATATGTGGCATGAGGGATAGTTTGGCTACAGACAGCTGCATAGGCAAGAGACGGGAAGATGAACCGGTACAGAGTCCGATTTCATGTCAAAAGGGATATCAGCACACTTTAGATGGATGGAGCGGGATGTAAACCAATGGTCGGTCAAGCAGTCCAGAGGGTTCAGTGTTTGGACGTCAAATTATGATATCGTTTGCATACTTGCACTCAACAAAACCACGAGGAAAGGGTTACAAGGAAGATGCATTATGCATCGAAAGGAAAAGAAAGGAGACAATATGGCTTCCGGGAACACACGAGAATGGATTGAAAGAGTTGAAGAACGTTTGGGACTGCAGGAGGTAAACTGTGTTGGTTTGTGGGGTATTCACACACAATGTTCAAGACACCGTCATGTGAGAGATGCAGTGGCGTGCCCTGATTCACCGAACCGAGAATATTTGCAGATTCAGTCGCAAGATTTTATCCAAGGTAGACAGCATTAGGTGTTCTAAAAGATGGATGAACAAACTGGATCAGGGCCATTTGCACGGTGAATGGTACACGCTCAAAGACCTTCAGTAGCTCAAAGGTGCAAGCAATAGAGCCAAATTAACTGAAATCCTCCTCTGTTAACAGGGCAATTTTAACAGGTTTTATGAGACCACTCTGGTGGACATTCATAAGGGAAACATAGCAAAATTTAGCTCAGGAAGTTGCACAGCTATTCTTCTCATCAGCTCACTGGACAAACGTTGCGGCTTTCGAGGTTCTTCAGAGCTGTGAGAACATAGGTAGAGCTGATGAGAGCTTCTCGCTACAATCAGACGGGTAAGCACAAAGAGCATGTTTGATGTGAAGAATAGAGCAAGTAGGCGAGTTTGATTTCCAACATCCGGAAAGCGCATTGTCCGTGAACCACAGAGATATTTTGAGGCCAATCACTGCTTGAGGCCATTAAAAAGACCAGTAGAATATCCACACGTTGTAAAGTGATAACCCGTGGGATGATGAGTCAAGGGTGCAATGAAGATCAGCTCAAATAAAGGGTGACATTCAATGGGACTGACCGAAATGAGTAAGTGATGGGAATAAAACCCATTGTCACCGGTGTTTACGCGCGCTTGACCTTCCGTTAAAAATAGCGTGCACTCACAGTCTTTTTTGTGAGCACATTCACAGATGACACCGTGTGGAAAATTAATGCTACCGCTCTTCTAAGAACATGTGTGAGTGTCAGAGAACCGACAGGACCCTTATGTGCATTTTGCTTATTCGGGGAAAGCGCTGAGGTTTCGTGATGAATTTGGTGTACGGGTCTGTAAAAGAACCGTGCTATTTGCCATTACGAGCTAGCTACGGTTTAGCCGTGTCCCAAGTCTTGTGGTTCGTCTGTTTTTTGTACTATTCTCCATTTCACTTCGATGGAAAAGTGGATGGAAAAAGCAAACAGTGGACATGCATATGAAAATATGGAATCTAGGCCACTTAGATGTGTATAGAAAGGAGATAAATGCTTAAGCATCATTGTTTGTGACATGCAGTCACATCGGCCCGTGTCATTAATCCCTGATTAGGGTGGTTGCGAGGCCCCCAACCGGGGAATCGAACGCAGTCTACTTGACCAAGTCATCTGGCCCTCACCAAAATCACCATCATCATCATCGTCTCACAGCAAAATACAACGAACCTAACTTCACTGATCGCTACCAGGCTCCTAATGCACACAAGATGAGTGAGAATGTGTAAGGAAGATAAGAAATAGACTTATTTTGACGTAGGGAGGCAAAGCAAGTGAACCTCTATGATCAACACAATGCATACAGTTCAGATATGCACACACTTTTTCAGGAACTTGGTCGGACAACAAGTAACGACAAGAACACTATTGATGTCGGTTCCTTGTCGTGTTCCTTTGTGTCTCCAACCAATCAGTTACGCAGTCTTTTGGGTCCCAACCTGGAAGACGGGAGATACCTAATCGTTTTCTGCACCTCTACGTGCCTCGTCTCCACATGACTTTTCTAGCATGGAGCGGCAGCTGCAAATAAGGCAAGGTGCGGTAGACAACGGTTAGGCATTCATGATATCTAAACTGTCTAACGATCGAAGCCCACTAATCTGAATTCGTTATGATAGTGAAGGCCCAGGTTTTCATTCCATTATGCCAGATCACGATCTGGCCACAATCGGCCTACTTCATCAAACATCGTATGCAGAGGAAGTATGTCCAGTCAGGAAAGGAAAAACAAGAGAACGATCAGGTCAGTCGCTCATTATCCCATCGTCTGGAGCAGATACAAGTCACACAGGGAGTTCGGTGAACTTTCGAACCGGTTAGCAGTCCGTGTGACCTGTAGTGGAGGCACTTCATATATCTTGGCAGATTACTAGTTGAGAGGGGTTTCCCAACGGGCGATTGCAGTATGCACCTCGGGTACAAGTACTAATCAAGTGTCCAGGATAACAACCATTTACTATGTATGGCATTCACAAGAACGATACCATTAAATTATTCATTTCATCGAACAACAACAACAATATTCCGTTGTTATTGGCCTTCCGTTAACACTCAACTCTTAATCTGGGATGTGAGAAACTAGCCACATACTTCAGCACCTGATTTTTTTTATCGCATCAAGGCAATGAGGGACTACAAACCACCCGTGTCATCATCTTGTGTGAAGCAGTGATTCTTTAATCGAGGTTGAAGAAAATCCTCTCTGTCAATTGCCAGCCGAGAAGGCAGTTTGCAGTGCTCTCCAATCACCGAGACCATTGTTGTTTTTCAGGTTGCTTTGTAAAAACATCCTCGTCAATGCAAATTGTCGCATGCATACAACAAACGTCAATCCCTCTACTCCTAAGAACTGTACGCGAAACCGATTTGCCTACAAGAAGCAAAGTGAACTCCAGTAAGAAACGATCAATCACTGTTTGACTGGTATTTGAGAAGCCCGTTGTTAACTCAAAGCTGTCCGGTACTAACGCAATGACTTAACACTATGTCCCCTAATGCCACACGATGTCAAGCGCAAATGGAGTTTTAATGGAAATCTGACCACTGCATAGTGGAAGTGCTGTATAGATGAATGCAACTGAGGCAGTCAATTTCAGTCTGTTGATTTGCTATAAAGGATGTTGGGTTACCCAGACTAAAGTAGATAGATGGACTGAACGGTAGAACAATTTACTGAAGCCGAAAGAGAGAGTACTCGACGATTTACAGAGCCCACGAGACGGTGGAGACGAGTGTTCACTCGGTCCGATCATATGTGGTTCAAGTACTTCGTTCACCTAATAAATCTTAAAGTTCAATCGAGTTCACGATTGTCGCGTAAATATTTTATCTTTGGGAAAATTCTCACGTTTCTTTTCGATCGGGATATTCCAACTACATCAATAGGAGTTAGCTGTCGGTAGCTCAATCCCCTTTTAAGCCCCGAATATCAGCCAGGTGGAGACAATAATTAAACCCTTCTCAATGGATGCAAACAAAACCGTCAAGCGAAAGCAAACTTGTGCTTTAGATCAATTTTCAAAGAACCTGTGACAAAGCGAGAGTCGAGTATCACAGTCCCAGAATTGGATAAATGGCGACACGATGACTGTCTAAGAAAAGTTTTCATCGTCTACAACAACAAAGGTAATGAATGACGAGATATTAACCGAGTTGATGAGCTACCTGTAACTATAAACCCTCGAGGAGAATTCCACAACTTCGGGTCCGAATGATATGAGAGGAGGCATGTGAACTACACAGCGTATCTGAAGTGTGACGGTTGCCGACTCGATTGAGAAGAATGTTGTATTGGGTTGTTCGAAACGGGGAGAGGGGGGGGGGTACTCTGTTCGATGAATAGATAATACAATCAATCGGATGCTAACCTTCAGCAAGTTTCCAACTAAGACTCATCACCTCTAAAATCAACCTCAACCCAAAACAATATTTGAATTAAAAGACAGACTGCAAGGTGAGGCAGTTGCTTCAGCAACAATGTACTCCAGCAGGCATTCAATCACCCCAAGGGACATGAATTTCATACATTGATACAACGCGGTCATTTTGTTGTACAGTACTAAATACGACAACAAAATAGAAATTGGTGAATATCACAGGGATAAAAGAAAGCCTCGAT